AAGCAGCATTTTAGATTCTATGCTGGATTTTACATGGAGCCGATGAAGAGAAGCTGATACAGGAGACATATGACCCGTTACTGGTTCTGAAACACTCTGTAGTAGTACTCGAGTACATGTACTCAGTTACTCTGTCCTGTGCTTCAGTTTGTGGAAGGCTCCTTTGAGAAGTACCTGGAGCGTCTGGAGGACCCAAAGGTGAGCTGCTGCTCTGCAGGCTGCTGAGCTGCTGTACCTGTGGACAGGTGTGCTAACGCGCTGTGTTTGCAGGAGACGGTGGGCCAGGTGGAGATCAAGGCTCTGTCACAGCTGTACAGGTAATCGGATTACTGCTGCAGAGGGAAGAAACCAGGAGATGTTCACATTTAGGAAGCTGCTTTTCCTAAAATGTTACTCCAACTGATTATTGATCATCAGGACAGTCTGACAGTTGATGACTGATTGATGACTGATGGTGAAGGAGGCGGAGCTACAACTGGTATAATGTGTGTGTGTGTGTGTGCGTGTGCGTGTGTGTGTGTGTAGACGTTGTTTCCTGATCTACCGTTACCCGGGGAAACCAGCCACTGTGATCTCTGAGGATGACTTTGTGGACAAGGTGAGGAAGAGCGTAACTCCTCACCACTGGTTGCCATGGTAATGTCCTAGCAGGTCACATGATACTGAACTCTGCGCTGTGATTGGTCGGGGATGGCTGTGTGTGTTCTGTGTTGCCTAGGTGACGCTGTGTTGCTCCATCAACGGTCACTATGACATCGTCTACCCAAGGAGTTACCCCGCCTCCGCCGCGCTCTGCCAGTGTGAGTGCTGTTCACTGATTGGTGGATGGAGTGATTGACAGGGTGTGTGTGTGTGTGTGTAGCTGCTGTGCCCTGAGTGTATTTGTGTGTGTGTGTGTAGCTCTGCTGTACGAGCTGCTGTACACTCAGGTGTTCTGCGTTGAGGAGGCGGAGCTCTGTCAGGCCATGGAGGCCTTCAGGGTCGGAGGGCGTCGCTATAGAAACAGCCCATCAGTGTGTAGCGATGTGGACGTCGGCTACGACACACCTGAGGACCGAGGGCAGAGGTACACACACCTGTGGTACCTGTGTGTCCAGTGTTACTAGTCTGCGTGGTTCAGGTGGAGCTCAGGTGTGATGTGACTCACCTGTGCACGTTTGTTTCCTCTGCAGGGAGGAGGTGGAAGTGGGCGGAGCCGCTGAGGAGAAGAACCGAGTTCTGACGGATGACTTGAAGGTTTGAATGTCGTTGAATGTCATGACGCCACAGCAGCTTCGTCAGCTGGTCGTCACGTTTCAGACCGACAGAACCACACTCATCGGGTCAATGGCGGACATGTAGTTTGGAGACATACAGCTGCCTCTGGACGATGATCTCAGTTCACCTCCTCTTTCAGTACGCTAGTTTTCGTCAACACAACACCGTCACTGAAGCTGCCTTCTTTAGTTAGCTCCGCCCACAACGGATGTGATTGGTCTAAGGGAATACAAACAGGCCGGTGCAGCAGAACATTCCACAGTACAGACCGGTCCAACTGAGACCACCTGACAGAACTGCAGTGATTTGGAAAAGAAAAAAAGATTTTCTGGAAATTCACTTGTTGTTGTTGTTGTTGTTGTTGTTGTTGTTCAGCCTCCTGCTGAAGCTCCGCCCCCCTCCAGACTGTCTCTGCCCTACAAAGTCATCAAGTCTCTGGACGGAGAAGTTTACAGGAACCTGGAGTTTGATGTGTGGCAGGACACCTGCAAAGGTACAGTACACACAGTACACACAGTACATCAAACGCAGTACTCTGAACATACCAGGATGTAGGATTTTATGGTCCGTCGGCACAGTTCTGCTTATTCAGACCCATAATCCCCTGCAGCGGTGACACCAGTGTCTGAGAGCTGAGCGTGACTGAAGTATAAAATGCAGTATCATGAAGTACGATGCTGCAGGAAGCAGTTGGATCTGCAGTGATGTGATGGTTGGACGTTCCTCCTCAGCCTCATGTGTTTGAACTCTGTGGTCCTGGTCAGACCACCTGCGCTGTGTGGAGTCTTTCTCATACAGAGTTCACATTTCCGTCTCAGATCATCACGTTTGACATCAACCTGTGCTCGAGCAGCTGTGGTGTGCCTGAATTTTCCATAAAATATGGATATTGATGAAGATGTTGTGAAGATAGTCGACCGACTGTCAGCACACTGAAATCTGAGGAACTCCACAAGATAAAACCTCAAAGTTTCTCAGTTGTTTCTCATTGTGGCGTCAGTTCATGAACAAATTCTAACACACAAACAAACCAGCATTATTCACTGAGTTTTGAGTCAAAATATTTTAACTGTTTGTGTCTGGAGCAGAACAGTCTGTTTCTGAAGTGAAGCCTGGAGGATGTAACTGAGCGCTGTGTAATCTGATTACTGTGTGGCAGAGATGCAGAAGACAGACTACATGGTGTTTGCAGGGAGGCAGTACTTCCTGGGAGACAAGTGTCAGGTAGCAACCGTCACCTTCGGTCTGTTGAACCTCTTCTATGCACCCTCGTTTCCTTTGTGTCTGGTCTCAGTCATTCTGGACACTAACCTTCTGTGGCGGAGAGCTTGAAGGAGTCATGATTCATAGACACAAACTCAGTAAACAGTCCTTATTCTTACACGTCTTTCCTATGTTTCATATCTGCTTTTTGGTTTTTCTTTTCTCATTTTATTTCAGTCTGATGTGTCGTCCTGCTGAAATCCAGTTTCAGTAACACAGGTGTGTTTCAGGTGCGTCTGGAGCCGAAGGGGAAGTACTACAACGCCTTCATCCAGGAAGTAGGAACTCACTCAACAGCCGTCACCGTCTTCATCGAGGAGCTGGGAGAGAAGTAACACACACACACTGAACCCGAACTTAAACCTGAACCTGAACTTAAACCTGAACGTAATCCTGAACTTGAACCTGAACCAAAACCTGAACTCAAACCTGAACTTGAACTCAAACCTGAACTTACTTCAACAGAGGAGATTCACGTGTTAAAGCAGCTGGCTACAGATGAAGCCAAAAGAAGCAGGACGACAATTACAAAAGTACAATAGGGCTAAATGATAATAAAGACACTGTACCAGGCAGGGTGAATTTCCATGTGGATGTATAAAAAGACAGCACCGTTTTTTATTGCGTTGCTGGGTTGTATGGGAGCAAACTTTGATTGTTTATGAAGAGCTGAAGAGAGAAAACAACAGTGTTAAGAGATGATGTGACACCAGGTTAGACGATGCTGGTGCAAACTGGAAGAACCGTGATGGGGAAAACAGCGATGTAGTGATGTTGTTGACTCAGGAGAGTATTCTAGTCATGGCACAGTTTCAACTACCTCCATTTTAGCACCATCCCTCGCCTTGCGCCTGCGTTGAGCAATGCATTGCTGCCCCCAAAGAGAGCATCGCCCAACCTCCTACTGTTACAGAAGAGCTCGTACGCCACTGCTCGCTCTGCACCCACTCCATGCCAACGTCTTCAGGTTTAGCTGAGGTTTGCATTTGAGCCTGCCAGGTCACTATGACCAACAGCATGTGTCTTACACAGGCTTGCAGAGGATTAATCCATCTTGTACGTGAGTCGAACTTAATCATCATATTTACCAGTTTTTCATCATTTGTTCAGTTTAAAATCCCACAACAGGAGGAGTGACGCCAGGATCAAATCTGTTGAAAAACAGATTCAGGTCATTCACCCTTTTCTGGTCACCTCATTCCAGCCCCCTTCGCCCACCTCTGCTGTGGCCTGAGAGGGTTTCAGACCTCTGCACGCCTCTCTGGACTTGTTTTGGGTCAGGTGGTGTTACAGTTTCCTGCTGTAGAGGTCCTTGCCTTCCCAGATCTTCTTCTTCAGCTCCCTCTGGACCGTCCTCGGCTCTTGTCTGTCTCCAGATCCAAAGGCCCTCTTCTTGTTGTTCAGCAGGTCCTTCACCTCAGGGGTCGCCCATGGTTTGTTATTGGAGAAACACTGTACCTTCTTGGTAGGCACAGTGTTCATGAGACCTTGCTGCAGTAGGTCAGACAGTCGATGTCCTCCCTGTGAGCTCTTTTAAAACAGCCCCTCAGTCCCTCACTGGCCTCCTCACATCATTGCCTTACGCTCCAAATGGTGGACAGCTGTTTATTCGTAGGTGTGCAAACAGGAACCAGATGTACCAAGTTGTGGTCTGAACAGGAGTGAAGAGGTGTTTGCATACAACACATCCAGAGTTTAGCTTAACAATGAACAATAACCTGAAGTGAAACCTGAGTTTAAACCTGAACTTCAGCTTGAATCTGAGCTTTAACCTGAACATAAACATGAACTTTAACCAAACCCAGACTGAGCTCAGACAGCCTGGATGTTCCTCAGAGTTTTCAGACTGATTGATGTGAACCGTGAAGCAACAGTTCTGAGGTCCACCAGGTTCATGTTCTGGTTCCTTCCCCCATCAGACACCTGGTTCCTCTGACTGACCTGAAACCTGTTAATCCAGTTCCTGCCTGGAACGTTGCTGCTCCCACCAGAAAAGGAGATCTGGGTACGTTTTAGATCCTCTTCTGTTTCTTCACACCAACATTTAATGTAAAAAACATGAAGTTCTCCTGAAGAACCAGCAGTGCAGCTCAAACTTCCAGTAAGTGTTTGGTAAAACCTCTTAACTCACATTTCTGCAAGCTGCTGAAATCAGAGACAGCAGCAGTTATACTGAACTGAGGGCTGAACTACAAAACAGGTTCAAGACATCCAGACTCATCAAACCTGAACCTCCAGTCAGAGACATCAGGTACCATGGAGGCTGTGATCAACTTGCTTTGTCAACTTAGACTTTCTTTTTCAAACTGAATGTTCACATTAACGGAGACGTTTAACACGTCATGTGCCTCTTCTGCAGCAAACAAACCAATCATATGCAGCTGCTTCAGTCAACAGAAAAAAAAAGTGAGACCTA